GTTTCAAAGATATAAGAGACAAACACAAAGGTAGAAAAAAGGTGAGGTGAGTACTGTGGAAATATTCGAATATGACAAGCAGTCAGGGCATGGTAGTTTGAAGTCAGAAGTCAACTACCGATAAATAGACTTTTTTGCCGTATGAGTATGCGTTGCCCAGGATGCACCATGTGGAGGTAAGTCTATCGCACACCCCATATTTATGTTGTAATTTGAGGTTGTGATTTGTAATGCTTATTGTGTTTTGGCGCTTGTTTGCTTGTATAGTAATGTTTTATGCATGTGATATTTTCCATGCTCGGGCTCTGCTAAATCTACCTTTAATTTGTGTTCGAGTTGATGTTAATGCTACAACACTGTGAGCATATTCTAAAAGCAGGCTTATCCATTTAATAGCAAATATATTTCTGCTACAAATGAATGTTTCCTTGGCATTATGATAAAGAAGCCGGCTACGTTGTTGGTTTGTTTTTTGTGTTACCGATAAACTTACTTGATGGTCTTCCGAGATGTTAACAGAAAAAGCATGTAAAATGCTCTTGATAGTCATTCATGCATGTCTTTCTTGATTAATTTTTCTATCAAACCCCTTAACCCGGTTCATTGCCTAAGCTGAAGGTAAAAACTCTTTATTTGACCTTTAGCAGTTAAGATTATCCAGAAACAGTGTCTGAAACCTACTATTTCATGGGCTGATTCTATTCATGAATACTCTTCCCCACTGCAGTAGGCTTTGTAAGGAAAACGATTTGATGTAAGACATTAGATGTTCGGGTTTGAAGTTTTTCGATCAACTATTCATGCAAGCTTAACATATTTCAGTAATTATTTCGTAAAGCTTAAGGCGTTTTAAAATAGGGCGAATGCAAAAAATCTAAAGATTTATTAGCCAATGGGCCTTCCTCTAACGTGGTTTCTTTTATCACGGACTTTTCAATTTCCTTATCAATTCCTGTTTAGGGTTTCACCTCACGGATATACTCGTTAACTTCCTATGTATCTTTATTTTTATTCCGTTTATTATTCCAATCCTGTTCTCGACTCGTCTTTTGTTTGAACAGAACCGTGCAAGGAGGTACAACTGCAATCCCCGGTGCTTTCGGTTGTGGCAAAACGGTGATCTCTCAATCCCTCTCCAAATACTCCAACTCTGACATCATTATCTACGTCGGTTGTGGTGAACGTGGCAATGAAATGGCTGAGGTTCTTCGTGATTTCCCTGAGGTATGCCCGTAAATTATTTGCCTTCATTTTTTAGAGTGCCATTTACTTCTCCTAAATTAAAGATCAGGGAATCGAATGACTAATCCAATAGATTAATTGATTAATGCAAGAATGAGGTTCTCGGAGAGGCTCCTCTCCCTTCTCAGATCTAACTGGGGTCAGGGTAACAGATGAATCGGAAATGAATTTATCATTTCTTACAACCAATGAGATATACTCTGATGAATAGAGGATGCAGATTTGTTGCTCCAACGGGAAATTACCTCTACTTTTCTAAGTGCAGTTCACCATTCATTAATTTAAGTCTATCTATATGTAACGCGTGGTTTTACCTTTGAAATGTTAAATTTTCCCTAGCAAAGTTTGAACACGATTATCTGCTACAAATAGTATATTAGACTAATTGCTCATTTTCCAATTTTTTTTCCAGTTGACTGTTGAAGTAAACGGCAAACAAGAGACCATAATGAAGCGTACCGCCCTGGTAGCCAACACTTCCAATATGCCTGTGGCAGCTCGTGAGGCCTCCATCTACACTGGTATCACCCTCTCCGAGTACTTCCGTGATATGGGCTATAATGTAGCCATGATGGCTGACTCAACTAGTCGTTGGGCTGAGGCTCTTCGTGAAATCTCCGGCCGTCTGGCTGAAATGCCCGCCGATTCGGGTTATCCCGCCTATCTGGGTGCCAGACTGGCTAGGTACGTTTCTCTACTTACTATATCATTTTAGTTCTTGTGATCTGTTCGGATCTGGCTCTGTGTGCTCTGAAACTCGATCAATCCGCTTGTGTTTGATTGGAAAATTAGGTGGGAGCCTATCTTCTTTTGAAGCGTAGGCGTATTAGGAAGAATCGATACATTGTAAAATAATCACTGCACACGAAACAAGAAGTGGGTAGGTCTATGAATATGTCAATAAATACGATGGAATTGATTTTTACTAGTCAGTCTGAATGGTGTATTGTTTAAATAGAGTGAGGACTTGAACAAGTTGATAAGCCTAAATCAAATTTTAGATGTCGACGGTTGAGCCACTGCAACATATCAGGCGTTCATGGGAACTGTTTTACTCTTAAACTCCTCCTCAATCAACTAACGATTTCTTGGCTGAGGCGTGTCTTGAATCTTAAGACGAGAATTTAATTATAACAACGTACATGACGTTAGATATGCAACTAGTGTATGTCATGGTTAAAGCTTGATCCATAGGAAAATTGTGTTAAGTGATGAAAGGGTCGAGTATCAAAGCACCTTTGAACTTAATTGCCGTAAGGAAGTTGACGTAAATCGATTGGAATTAGCATCAATACACAAAGAAAAGCCTTTGCTAATCTTGATGATTGGTCTTGATTAGTATGCTCCATTGTTCCAGCTGTGTCATCTGGACCATGCCCTGGCTATCTCGTGCTTGTATCTCCTCTTGTTAAGCTTGGCCACCATCCGCATAAAACCTATCACCAATGGTTTCAGCCATCGAGCTTCATGTTCTAATAAATCGAGTAATGAAAACTACTTTCACTCATAATAGTTAGGCGATGTTTTGGTGGGTCTCTACTAATTTGGCTAAATCATCACTTATGTTAAGATATTGTTTACGTTTTTTTACCACAAACCCTGACATGTCCTAGTGACTTCCTTCAAAGCCACTTAACATTCAGCCTCAATTTGGTGACTACGTCTACCGTGAGTTTAGAAGTTTACTTGCTACTTTATTAACTTTGTCATTTTTCTTGTGCTAAGTTTCTATGAACGAGCTGGACGAGTTCGTTGTCTGGGAGGACCAGATGTGCGTGAAGGCTCGGTGACAATTGTCGGTGCTGTCTCTCCTCCTGGTGGTGATTTCTCCGATCCTGTCACTTCTGCCACCCTCGGTATCGTCCAGGTATGCTTGAATTTGTCTCGTGCCCTATTCTTCGCATTTAATCTAATCTATTGTGATTATTCGAATAGCCTGATTAGTACTTGACATAGCAGTATAGGAATACAATTTACTACCAAGGAATTAAGTAACTTTCAGTTGATTTTTGACCTCGTTAGTGTTGGAGTTTTACTATTTCAAGAATGTCATAATTATGGCGATAATTACGGAAACGTCATTAGCGCAGATATTTTTCTATTTAATAGTAATCAATCCGAGAAGAGTCATTGGTAGAATAGGAACTTGATGCGTGGGTGTGTAACATCTGCTAAGTCGCCACTAAGTCAACTCTCTCTCGTTTCATATTTTGCACTTTTTTTGTTTCCTCCAACAATCTTTGGAATACTTTCGGAACTACATTAGATGATGAGACTTGAACTGTAAAGAACAAATATAAAATATCGATTTTTGATTAATTTTAAATGTACTATAAATGCAGGCAATGGCTTTCATTTAAAAACACTACTTGCCAGTGGTGGCATGTCATAGGTCATAGGTACGGTTCTCATCAACTCACAAACCGCTTTGGTCAAGTCTGGGTAGTAACGCAGTGATACAATCCAAACCCCACCCTGGAAACTTAATAATCCCTCCATCCAAAATAACCGTTGTATAATGCTTTCCTAAACTGACTTTTGAATCATTGCTAAAAGCCACTTCACATCCATTTGACTTAGAGTTGCGGTTTAGCGGTTTTTTGTTAATGCTGGTGGGGAGGTGAATTTATTCCATTCCTATCCTTATAATTATTATCTTATTGGAAACTTCCTAGAAGTAGTTGGAAGATTGAACCATCCACTGGGTCAATTCGGTATTCAGCTAACTCTTAGTTTCCACCCCCCCCCCTTTTCGCTGGATTACAAAATGCGGCAGCAGTGTTTTAGTCTTTAACTTCCAATTATAATTTCACTGCTTTTGAATGCGATTTGGATTCAAATCTGCTCGTCTGAGTAGTGGAGGCTGAGTCTGTTAATTGTATTCTGCTCTCCCTCCCTCCGTTTAAGACGCGATGTGTATCGGGCAGAGAGTGCATAACTTTTATCACATCCATGCGGACTTATTAATTGCTTGTGCCGTTGTTATTTTTAAGGTCTTCTGGGGTTTGGATAAGAAGTTGGCTCAACGCAAGCATTTCCCAAGTGTGAATTGGCTTATCTCCTACTCCAAGTACCTACGCGCTCTGGACGAGTACTATGACCGTCATTTCCCCGAGTTCGTCGCCGCTCGTTCAAAGATGTCTGAAATTCTGCAAAACGAAAAGGATCTCTCAGAGATAGTGCAACTTGTTGGCAAGGGCTCCTTGGCTGAGGGCGACAAAGTCACCCTGGAAGTGGCCCGCATTATCAAGGATGATTTCCTTCAACAAAATGGATACTCCGACTACGATCGATTTTGTCCCTTTTACAAGTCCGTGGGCATGATGCGCAACATTATTCACTTTTATAACCTAGCGATGAAGGTTACTACTGAATCATCTAACAATCAGAATAGTAATCGGCGTGTTACTTGGTCGATTATTCGTGAGGCAATGAATTCCACCCTTTACAGGATTTCCTCTATGAAATTCAAGAATCCACGAGTGGATGGTAAGGAGAAAATCCTTGCTGATTATGAGGAACTTTATGAGGAAATCACCGCGGGTTTCAGGAATTTGGAGGATTTGTAGAAGCATCTATGCGCTGGAATCGTGTTATTCCTTCTCATCATTCCACTGTTGATCTATCACGCTCTCTGGATCCGATAAATGCATAATTGAATCTTCTTAACCCCCCCCCCCCCCCCCCCCCCCCCCCCCCTCCCTCCCTCCCTCCCTCCCTCCCTTAGTAGTGTTGCGAAATCACACTTGCGTATGCCATAACTTTCCCCTTAATTACTCGCTCATTGTCTCTTTGCTAATCATGTGCTAATGCGTGTTGTAACTGTGATCTTGAAATTATATAAAATATTTAGCAATACATTAAAGTTGGTGACTTCTAGACTTTTTGATATTGGAAATGGTGGTCATGGCTGTATGCTAGAAATGTAAAAAATTCTGTAAGGGATTTGTTCGTTTCCAATTTATTAATAAAGAATACGCACTATCATATTCGATAGCCATGTGCTTAGACAAAGCGGTGAGAAAGGGTCTTTGGAAAAGGGTAGCGACCATGCCTCGTGGGGTTTAGTGCCTTTGCCTCTTCGATTTGTTTTATCCGAATATTTCGGCTTGTTTACTAAAGCTCCTTTGAAGAGAATTGCATCGAATTTCATGTGAACGTTGATTATGACCTTCGATATACTTTAATGTCTGGGATTTTGTCGCAAAAATCCTTATTAATCGTTGCGTCTGAGGATGTCCATGTAATTCTAATCGTGTACTCTGGCAATGAGAAGGAAAGGACGAGAAATCTTTTCGATGATGACAGCACTATTCACGCTCTTTTTATGCTCTCATCAACTTCACTGGGTCTTATTAAGCAAACTCCACATCCACAAATCATTTAGACTGGCCAGGGGTGTGCGATAGACTTACCTCCACGTGGTGCACCCTGAACAACGTATACTCATGCGGCAAAAAAGTTTATCAACCACCAGTTCACTTCTGAATTCAAACTACCATCACCACGCTGTATGTCATATTCGACCCCTTTGACAGTACTCATCTTACCTTTTCTCTACCTTTGTGTCTGTCTGCCTCTTTTTTTCATCTACGAATCGCTCTTCTGTTCCCCACCCCTCGACTTTCTTCTACTTTGATGAACATTCCCTCTGTGAAGCCCGAAGTCAGCTAAATGGCTAATGATAGCTATCAAAACGCCTGCCATTTGAAATAAATTTAGACTGGCCAATCAGATAAATAAGGGACGCGGTTATTTATTTATTTCAAATGGCAGGCATTTTGACAGTTATGATTAGCCCTTTAGTTGACTTCGGGCTTCACAGAA